AAAACTAAGGAATGGGGCAGATAGCTCTGTGTGTGTGGGAAATAACATCTTAATCTACAACTTCTGCTTTCCTCAGAGCACTGAAAGCAGAGCCTTAAATCTGGTCTTTGGATACCACAAGAATTTATGCCTCTAGTAAGCTGAAATTAATCTCTCCTTTATAAATGAACACTGGGAAAAGGGATTTTTGGCATGACTGACAATGCCATGCCTACCTGGCTGGGAATTTCAGTATTTGTATCCTGTGCAACCCTTATTTGGGAGCAGGGATGGTCAGTGATGATGTTGGTGAGTGCCATAGACTGGTGCTTGCCTGCCTGGCTGCCAGCTCTGCCAGTCTCCTTCCCTGACCTGCTGGCATCTAGCAGCAGCAGAGTGTCCTCTGAAGCCAGGTGGGAAAGCCAGGCCTCAAAGCACTGCTGCAGACTCTCCAACGCTTGTTACCATGACATACAAGGCAGGACAAAGGAGAGTGCTAGCAAATTCCTTAATTGCTGCATCATCGCTGATATCACACCAAGCAGGAGCCCTCCAGCTTCTGCATGTTTGCTGATGACTCTGCACTCATCCAGCTCCTGCTTAGTCTTGGCTGTTCTCCCACATACTCCACCCAGAGCTGACAAGTTTTGTGCAGCTTTATAACCCCATTAACGTATGACTCAGGGTGCTGCTTATTAAAAAAGAGGTGTGTGTGGTCATACAGACAATTATAGGTACAAGAGAGGTAAGGTGTGCTGAGAACAAGACAGGAATAATTATAAAGCTATTGGATTGTGTATATGTGGAGGTAATTGCTCCTTCCCAAAGCAAATTAAACATAAATAATCAAATAACTCAGCAGAAGCAGTGAAGTCTCAAATTAATGACAATTGTGTTTTGCACTTTCCCAGGACCATCTAGCTCTAAGAAAGGCTAACAAGCACTTTAAACTGCAATTTATTGAAGTGTTGGATTATGAAACTGGAATACAGAACACTACTACCCTTCCTATTTCAGGCAAGTTAACAAATGAGAAAGTAACAGGTTTCTTGACTGAGTGCCCCCAAAAAACCCAACTATAACCCAGGACATTTACTGTTAAAATTATGAGCCCATGAAAATCCAAGTTTATAAGAACAAAGTTGTTTACAGACTTGAAATAAAAGCATCCATTATTTTAATGCTGTAACTGCAGATTAAGACAATGCAGATGGGCATAATTTTCCATTCTTAATATGAGACACAACACCATGTGTCTTTAATATAGATACAACATATACATTCAGCTAGAACATTGGTTTATTCTTACATTTCAAATTCCAACTTAAGTCACTATCTAAAAAAAAAAAGCAAGTGAGTAAAAATGCAGTAAAGATCATGATGGTATAATGATCAGTCATTTAACACAATCTAACATATTATTTGTAGGATCTGCAGAGAATGAAAAGTTTTCTCTATTAATGCTTTGAGTTAATCCTGTATCCAAACATTTTTCCCAATAAGCATCAGATTATTTTTATGTTGGCTATAAAGCTGTCACTCCTCAATAAACAAACATGCTCCTGGTGGGTTTACCTCACTGTCAAAGATCTGTCAATTCATGCATCATCTCACAAGTGAAACCAGAGAACCTTTACTGCACAGCTCCTAGCAAATCCAGCTGAGCAGAGGCTGCTCATCACCTGAGAGGATTCCCACCACTGCAGCTCCTGTGCAATTAGTAGTGACTGGATGCTCCCAAAACAAGTTCACAAAATCCCTGAAGTTAATAGTTCTGCCTCCCTTTAAAAGAAAGTTATGTGACCTTTAATGGTCTGCTCAACTGAGCCTTCGTTTAGTGAGTCTCAATTAAATTTTATGTTTTGTGGCTCCCATTTTCTTGTAAGACAAGAAAAGAATTTAAGGGATGGATCCTTCTTTGAAGAATTTAATTCCCCATGAAGAAAATGTATTTCCAGTTAAAGAGATACTCAAAGTTTGGGGGAAGGAAGTTTTTGTAGAACTTCCTGTTGGTTTTTGTTTGTTTAGTTTTTTGTTTTGGGGTTTGTTTGTTTTACTTTTGTTTGTTTGTTGTTTGTTTGTTTTGTTTTGTTTAAAGATTTTTAGTGTTTTGTAAAGATGAAGGAGTTTTCTGGTTCGTTGAAATGGACGGTGTTCTGTTAGTGATTAGACAATTATTTCCTCTCTTCTTTCCATTGTAATGAGGACAAAATTCGAGGGATGGTTAAAGAATTCTGGCAGTTATTTGTGATGAAGCTTTCCATGAAATCACCAGATTGCTCCAGTGATACTGCAGCAACATAGTACTGGTTGATTTTCAGTAAGAGCCACTGCAGCAAATGAATCATTTGCATATGTGTTCATAAAAATAAATAATTCCTAGGCTGACTCTGCATCCTTAACCTCAATATAACAAGGTCAGAAAATTAAGGCACAATGAAGCATCTCACCTGAACTGGGCTTTGACATTTTGGCTTACCTTAGTTGCTACTACTGAAAAATGTAAGTACAAATCAGCATAAGCAATATTCCCAAATGTAAACATTTTCAGGGACAGGCCATTAGTAACACTTCTTTTCCCACTGTTTCTTTATTTAGTTAGGGGTTTTTTTAGTCAATTTAACATAAAATCACAGATGCCAAAAGGGAATTCAGAGTGCTGAAGAAAAATGCCTAAACCCTTTTTCATTTAGTTTAGCTCTTTTCATTTTAGTTTATGCCTAAACTCTTTATAGATTTAGATATTTAGATATTTTCAGAAAATGCCACACACCATTGGGGGTGTTTCCTATTGCCAATATGAAATAAACATGGGGCATAAATGAGTTTCTTATATCCTACTCACAGACTTACACACCTGAGTCTGAACACCTCATAAACTGATTTTGTTTGCTTAGTACCTAAATGTGAAGCCCTTTCTTGGTGCTCTCTTCTGCATATTTTTGTGGCCACATAAGGAATGGGTCATCAGGATTAAAGGTTTCCACAAACTAAAATAATTCACATTCCACCATCACTTCCTACACAGCTGTCGTAATCACCATGCTCCAGAAAACCAGACAACTTGTGAAGACAGGAATGAAGGACTCATGGAGTCATACAGGTTTTTCAGGGTTACCTGATTTCTTTTCTTATTTTTATCTGAAATTTAACATTATAATTCATCTAAGATTTTTCGATCTCATTCTTTTTTCCTAATGCTTACTACTGATGTCTTTCAACGTGAATTTCTGCCTCTGTCTAACTTCCTGGAGAAAAACAGGTGCTCATGACATTTGCTTTTTAACTGCTTGTATTCACTGCTTGAATTGAGTATTGACTGCTTTTGAAACAGACAAGTAAAACTCTGTATTATCTCTTGCCCCATGGAAATTTGATGCAATCCATTGCTAAACTGTGATTTAAATATATAATATTTTCATGTAATCATCTTCTTTTTCCTTCTCACAGATTCATGACTTGTTACAAACATTAAATATATTCTAGTTTATTTCCAGTATCAGGGCACAAGAGCTCCATAGGAAAAAAACAATGAATGAAAAAAATAGTGAATTATCATGGGAAGTGTCTCTTGATTTAGAGTCTTTCTCCAGATATGAAAAATACTAGTGAATTGGGATGAGATAAACACTGTTTTCATACTCACTGACTTAAATATTGAAACTAGTTTTCTATTTAAAAATAGTTCTACATTATCATAAATATTAATACCTCAGTAGTTTTCTTTCGAGAAGCAATACAAGTTAACATTAACTCAGCCTAGAAAACCTCAGAAGCTACAGATTGCCATTTGTGTGGAACCTTTTCAGCTTTTAACTTTTTAGAGTCTTTTGTTGTGAAAAAACACAACATTAACCTCTCAACAAAAATGAATTTGCAACTAATAAGGGCATCTGTGACAACTTCCTCTTCCAACATCATAATGAAACTTCTTTTTATGTCCCTACTTTCTCATTTCAAACCATCCGGCTCTATATGGATGTGCTTAGGTAGTTGAGCTTAGCTAAATCTCACTGCAAGAAACAAAACTGGTCTAGTTATTAATTTTACTGCTCATCTCACCTCTGTTTTTCCAGTGCAGCTTGTGGATGCAAGAAGTCAATGTCTCACTGCACCTATGCTGCCTCCATACCCAGCGTCTGTGCCACTACATACAGGACCTGTTCCATTTTGATGAATATTTAGGTTGGACTCATGATCCAGAGGTCTTTTCCAACCAAATTGTTGCTGTGATATACAGATAAAAAAAAAAAAATTGGGTTGCTACGGTATTAAAAAAGTCTATGGAAAGCCTGCCAGCGACTCAAAGCTGGGTTTTACTAATTAGAGTTACCTTGATTAAAGGCTAGCTTCCAAAGAGCTCCTGTGGATAACAGGCTTAACTTTAAGCATATGATAGATCCCATTACATTCACTGGCTTTAACTGGACTGCTCATAAAATTAAGCCTGTATTTAAATGCCTTTCTGGATGAGAACCCAAGTCCCTTAGAAGAGCTCAGGCTTAGAGCAGCAGTACCTTATGATGTCTGTATGATTCAAGTAACTGATGAACATACCTGTTTTTGCCATATTCTGTCAAACTGAAAAGCTGTGGAATTTTGCTTACACAGGTCCTGCAAACATTGTGTCCCACAGGTAACTGGGAATGCCATTTCATCAGAGCTTGTAAACAAGTGACACGCTCAGCCCGAGCTGCTTACTAAACCAGGATGAGACACGAGTGAAGATACAGGAATACACTAATGCAGCCATCCTGCTCCAGTGCTGAAGCAGGGCTGTCACCAGTGTCTCGCTGCAGCTGTGCATTCTTTGACATATTATAATAACCAAAAATGGCATTGTGAGTCTAATTTAGACTAATCAAGTCTTTTCAAGTTGTGCTCGTTATGTAAGAATATGTTTGCCAAATTCTTGCAATTGCAAAGAGAAGAGTGGAATATAAAGAGGATCTAATGTCTGGAAAATGGGTGATTAAGAAAGCTTGCATAAAATTGACAATTTTAAAAACATATACTCTTACCCTTCTCGTTGGAAAATAGTCCTAAAACAGTCCCCCAGGCTCTTGTAACTGGTTGGATCAGTTTTCCCTCTTTGAATTTGGAACCTAAAAAAAATACAATTTACATCACAGCATGAGAAGTCAGGGATTTTAAGTCACTTTTAACTTTCCAATTATTATATAAAAGGAGTTTTAAAAGGTTTTTTTATGTCTCTGATTCATTATTATATACTGTTCCTGATATACTTATTAACACTGTTTTCATAGAAGCTGTTAAACCAAGGAAAAGTAGAGCTTCAGTAGTAACTTTTTTTGTAGTTTATGGAACTCACAGTATAGCTATCACCTTTGACATTTACACCTCTTTCTAGTTGTTTGAAAAATAAGCTGTTAACCCTGTGCCTGATCCAAAGCCCACTGAAACTAATGTGAGTGTTTGAGTCAAACCCTGCTTTTGAAAATCTGGAATGTAATACTATCGTGTGTTGCTCATTTTTATATCTGACACAATTACAACAAAAATCAAACAGAGACATGAGCAGATATTAGAGAACCATTTATTTTTCATAACTCAATAACAAGATGAACAATAAAAGCAAGCAATGAATTATTCTAATTGAAACCTTATTTTCTCTATTCAAATTTTGACAACAATAAAAATTTCAACATGAAGCTTGTGGCCTTGAAAGGAAAATCAAGATTATGATTTAAGATTGTAAACTTCTTATTGTTATGATTTATGGATAGCAACAGTGATTTAACAAACTATATTATTTTACTAAGTATCTCAGATAGAGGATCCTATTTCTTTCAGTTAAAAAACTGCAGCTGGCACATTCAAGTAAATAGAATGGAGATAATTAGATTAATTTTTAGCAACATAACTTCTTTTTAAACTGCTGATTACCAAATAGCACTAAAAAATAAAAAGAATATTGCTGTTGGCAATTCCAGTCTAAAACAGCCTTACAACAGGCAATCACTATACTGGTTTTATTTCTGGTTTCAAGGAATAATTCATATTATAGTCAAGTACACCACTTGCCACAGGTACACGACTGTTCTGAGAAACATCAATTGTTACTCATTCTGATCACGATACTGGATCTCATTTAAATGACATAACGAATCAAGGCATTTTTAACTCAAGGTTAAGCAGCAATTTGCCCCTCTCTCACAGAATTCACCAAGGTCAAGTCAACATTTGCATTGTGGCAAAAGGCATTCATTGTTTTGAACATCAGTATTTCTGTGCTAACACAGCTAAAATTTTCTTCAATTTGAGGAAAAAAATTCGAGTGATGCAATTCTTGGGGCAATTATGAAGGCGAGCCCACACCTTTTTTAAAACAGTCAGAAGGAAACACTGAGTCCCTCCGTAGTCCTAATAAAAGTAGTTCAGGCACATCTGGGATCTCTATCTGGGGTAACCTCTTTTATTAGCACAAGAACTTGCTGCCAAGTTGGCAGAAAGAAGAATGCTATTCAATAGGCTTACACTCAAATAGAGCTGGTGCATAACATTTTGTCTGAAAAGATCCCTTGGGAAGGCTAATAGTTGAAAAAAAAAAGCCTCAATGCTATCAGCATAGTCCAACAGCAATACCAGCTACAGAAGCTTTTACATTGTGGCAATCAAGCAATCCAAATTATAACAGAATCTAGTTTCTATGCACATTTTAATGCATTTAAGACTTGATTGTTCATATAACTCAGCTCAAAATGAAAAATGTCTTTCTTTTTCTTAAAGGAAACTTGCAAAAACTCACCTCATACTTTCTCAAAGTATTTAAAAACAACATTTTCTTAACCCAAACTCTTTTCCTCAAGTTTCAAGATTTGGCATCCTTGTAAATTCAAAAAAGTATCACTGTTTCTAAAGCACCCTTTGAATAATGCACTTTGGTTCTTTCACCTTGCAAATGCTCAGCAATGTCTTACTTGCATGTGTGTAAGATTCCCCACTAAATCATGCATGCAAAACTGTTTGTTGAGCTGGGGCTTTAATTCCAGAGTCACAGTGGATCTCAAAACATAGAGAAAATATTTATATAATTCTGTTTAACAGCTTACACATTGGCAACTTCTCAACTAAATTTAAATGATTCAATAAAATTACGTCTTTTATAGCAATAATGTAAGTAATGGCATAAGAAATGCAATAATCCTGTAGGTAATTTATGCTTTATCAGATGAAGGATAACTTCTTGCTAAAGAAGTTAAGTCAAAGAAGCTTTACATTTATTTCACATATTTGCTTTAATACAGATAAGACTTTAGAGTTAAATGAGTCCATTTGTTACACTGAGTCACACAAATAACATATTCCTTGCTGTAGAGTTTTTGGATCCATTCCTTCCCTAGTAAATCTATTTTACAGCTTTAACAGCAATTCTAAAATACATGCCAATTATGTGCTTCAACCTAGATCTGCGAATTGGGTTCTTTGATTCAGAATTGCTTGCCTCAATAAAATCATGTGTAACTTTTTAATGAACTAACTAATTGATCACCAGCACTTGTTATAAGAAGGTCAGGGAAGAGCTGAAAAAAAATTGTTTGTTTTCCTGGAGACAACAGTGGCAGCCTCTATTAGGAGTCTGAATAACACAGAAGAGCTAAAGCATTCCCTTAAAGAAAACCCCAATCTGGCCTGTTTTTAATGATTGTTTAGAGGAATGAACACAACTGTGGGATATGTAATGGCTTTCTCTGCTTCAAATCCGTTCCTTTCTAAAAGCACTATAAAACCACTGAATTTCATGCATTTTTGAAAGTTGGATGGCTGCCTTGTATCCTTTCAGCTTTTGCTAGACCAAAAAAGATAAATTCCCCTCTAAATACCATTGGAGCACTAACTTCTGATCTAATAATTTTGAAGTGTGATGGCAGGCAGCCCTCAGTGACATGCTGAACAGCCATATGTGCAGGAATGCTTTCCCAGGGCTGGGATGGACGACCTCCTACTCACTACCAGCATCCAAGAAGTGTCAGAAGTCACTGGACACTCCAACACACTGTGTGTTTACTGCAAGCTTTATCACTTTAAAAATGAGCATCAGGCTAACTTTCCTCCCCTGTCATTTTCCTCCTTCTTGGCTTTCTGGGCACAATGTTGTGGTGCTGAGCACTCCCAAACCTCACTGAGGCACTTTGCACCCCATGTTGCCTCTGCCTACCTGGGACCAGCCAAGGCATTTACTGCCTGCTCCCTTGGCCCCTTGCAGTTCCCACATCCATCTCCCATGCCATGAGGGACATCACATTTTCTTTTTCTGCCTTGCAGCAGCAGTCCAAAGAGTTTGGTCTTCCATGTCCCCTTCGAAGGAACAGTACCTCATGTATCTACACTAGATACCAAAGTGCCCTGGTAATGTTTAAGAAGAGAACATTGGTGTCCTTCCCTGTTCACTGCAGAAGACACATGTTTGGGATCTCTATGAAAAGTGGGAACCATGTAAAAGTATTTGAGGTTTTGGGGTCTGTTCAAAAGGCATTGAAAACTGATGATCTAAAACCATGGAAATATTTCAACTTACCCACACTAATCAGCGCTAAAAATTCTACTTGTGAAAAGAATAAACGCAAATTATTGTTATTTTACTGGCATGAGAGAGAGCATTTTTTTCATGGTTATACCAGTCCTTGATCAATAAGCCTCAATGGGCTCTGCCTGAAATTCCATAATGTAGAAGATGCTTGAGTTCTTTCAGCAGTTCTCTGAACCACTTATCATTTAACAAGTGATCCATCATGCTGTGTAGCCATGACTCTACACAAACACATGCATCTGTTTCCAATGCCTAACTCACAGTCCTTGTTGGTTTTTTAATAGCCAGCATTTCATTCTGAGTTCAATAAACTCCTCAGTCAAGATCAAGCCTTTCTGATCCTATTCCTATTGCAAAAGCCCTCTAGGTAATCTTTTCTAATAGAATCAATATCTATAGAAGAACAAATAGATGCATGTCTTTTATGAAAAAAGATTCTCTCACATCCCTCTATAATTTATTAATTTTTTTGTTTATGTTTGCTGAATATCTCATCAAAGTTTTCTTGTGCATGTCTGCTACTACATTATCCAGATATTTAGTGTTTAAAGTCTGTTTACCACAACATTACCTAAAAATCCTCCCTGTTTCATTTACTGATCTGGGCTGGAGAAAGATTTCTAATTCATATTGACATTGTTTTAGCCATCTTAAAATCTAAAAGAAAGAAATCAGTATTTTCATATCTAGATTGAAGCATATAGTGAGATGTAAGACCCAGTTATGCAGGACAACCACAGTGTGATATGGAGCAGTCCAGACTTGTCAGAATCTTGCCACTGGGTTTGCAAAGACCCTTGTGCATAAATTCCAGAATTTCTTGCTGTTTTCATGCAGCACTGCTGACTAGTTTCTCAACCACAGAGTTCAGAGGGAAAGAAAAACACTGACTCATAGAACCAAGCTTTATACCAGGCTGCAATGCTTGCCAAGGAGTGGCAGCCTGAGCTGTATTTTCCTTCTCTGCATATCTCAGTAGGATTTTATCATATGTTCTACTTGGTTTTGAATACAGATCCTAATATTTCCATTCATGGCTGGGGTTTGTGCAGTACCAGAGCAAATAAACTTGGGCACTGACGTATATGGATGCTATAAAGAAGAAAATTACGTGACATAACAACAAAAGAAATTAAAATATCTGTGCAACTTTAATTTTAAAACAACTTTAAAATAAATGTATGGTCTTTGGAAAACTGAAAACGTGTATAGCTTTTTTGCACTTTCAGTAATTCCCATGATTCCAGACACTCCTAACTGTATTTACCACACCCTTATATGTTGATAAAAGAATGTATAGTCTGAAGTTTTATATAAATATACATTATTTAACAGTTAACACACTTATAATAAAATAAAATAACTGCATTATATGTTTAAAATATTTTGATTTGTTAAGTTAAACATTTATTCAGGTGTTACTATGAGTGGTATCTACTGATGCTTAAATTTCATGCAAAACTTTAGACTGGAAAACGGACCTCAATAATATAATTTATATCACTTTTTGGCTCAAGTTCTTTGAGTTGCTTATGTTACTCACAGGATAATAAC